ATGAGATGGATTGATTCAGTGACTGGGGTAATCGGGATGGGTGTGTCAGAGGCAGTGCGATTGGCACAGGATAGAGCAGGGTTTAGGGCTGTTATACATAGGGTCACTATGAGTCGCAAACGACTCGACGGCACATAACAACAACAACAATCCAAAGGTTCTGCCTCTCTGGAGGGTCCAATGCAACAATGACTTCACTGGAGAAAGATGAGTCTTTCTGTGAGATTTGCAGCCTCAGAAACCTACCTGAAGGTCAGCTTGTTTCAGACTCAACAGCTATAGATTCTTTTTCCGCCCTATTCCCTTAGACTACCACTTCTCCATACTTCTGTCCTTCATCCGCTGTCTACTCCTCACTTTTGTTCCTGCCCTTCTTGCTTTTCTGTCCAAGATCTTCTCACCTCCCCTCTGGCTTGATTGTGTTCATTTTCAGTACAATTTCTTCTGGTCTGCATCTCCATTTAGTACCCTACTTAGCACAGCAAACATGGAAGCTCCTGGAACCACGATATAAAGAGGAACTTTCTATTTAAAAGAAAGAGTAGAGTGAAGAAAGAAAACATTTCAAATCATAATGTTAGTCTGTTGTCCCTTTCACAGATATTATCTACATCCACGTGGATGTGGCCATTAAAAATAATGGTTTTTTTCATAACTTGAAAAAAAATCCCATAATACTATCAATGACAGAGTACAAAATCAAGGAACAAAATTATAGCACAACTATAAAAAGAAACTCATTGCAGTGAAGTTAGAACTGTCTCCTAGGTGACACTGCATTGGGTTTCTGAGGCTGTAAATCACAAGGGAGGGGATTGCTCACCTTTCTCTCCTGAAGTCTCTGGTTTATAGGCTGCTGGAGCTCCCTTGTATAAATAAATATGTTTTTCAAAACCAAGGGAAATATACTTGTTGAAGTAATTGGTTTGGCATAATGAGACAGTTACTGATTTTTTAAAATTCTTTTTGTGGAATTTTCTACTTGTAAGTAATAAAACTCTTATTGGGGAAAAAGTTAGTGTGCAGAAGGGTTTTATTCTCCATTCCTTTACTCATTTGCGTAAGAGTTCATAAATCATATGGCTTTTCCATTCATTTACATTTCATTTTATAACATTGTAATTATAACTTCATTCAATCATTTATACTAATTTTTATTTCTAACATTATAGATTCTGACATACTCAGTTTAATTATCAATAGTGATTAAAATAAGCAAAAGACTAATGACGGATGGCAAAATAGAATGAACATAATCTAGGAAACAAATAATTTGACTTAGCTCTTCAGCTAATTCAATAGGTGACCTCAAGCAAGTCTCTTCACTCACTGGGCCTCAGTTTCCTAATCTGTGAAATGGGAGGAAGCACCTCAAGACTCGCTAATACCCCTTTCAGCTTAGAAAATTATTGAACTTCAGTCTATGCCTTTAAAATAGAACTAATTTCTACCTTTGAAATGAATTGATATAGATGTAGCTGTGACAAAAGTGCATCATCTAATTGCAGTGCCATCTGAGAAGAGCCATGAAGAGACAGATAGTACCAAGGAAGAAGCAGCTAAAATGGAAAAGGAGTATGGGACCTTGAAAGACTCTACAAAAGAGGATAACTTCAACCCAGGAGGAAAGACAAAAGAATTAAAAGGTACATGATTGCCTGCATGAGGTTGACAATGAAATTGAGAAAGAAATAATCTTATTATACCTGAAAATAGTCCAAAAAGCTAGCCTCACCAATGAGAAATGAGCATGATCTGTATAGAAAGATTCAGCATCTTTAGTCGAATGTTGTTTTATGCCATCGAGTCACCTGCGACTCATAGTGACCCTGTGTACAACAGCCCTAAACCCTGCTCTATTCTGTGCTAGCCTCACTGTCTCTGACACACCCACCCCTATTACCCCAGTCACTGAATTAATCCACCTCATAGAGAGTCTTCCTCTCCTGTGCTGTTCCTCCACCCTCCCAAGCATGAGGTCCGTCTCCAAGGACTGGTCTCTTCTTGCAACATGTCCAAAGTATATCAGATGAAGCTTCAGAATCCTTGACTCCAAGGAGAAGCCTGGTTTCACCCTCTCTATAATGAACCTGTTAGTTCTCTTAGCAATCCATGATATATTCAATACTCTTCTCCAACACCACAGCTCAAAGGCATCAATTCTCCTTCCATCCTCCCTAGTCATTGTCCAGTTCTCTGATGCATAGCAAATGATTGCAAAGACCTGTATCAAGCACACCTTAGTCTCTAGAGTGATACCATTGCTCTTCAGTACTTTGGAGAGGTCCACCACAGCAGATTTTCCCATCGCAGTACATCTTTTAATTTCCTGGCTGCTGGTGCCAAGAGTGTTGAATAGCAGTTTTAAAAATTAATTATGACTCTTCTAGAATGATTTCATCTCTTAATGATTTTAAACGATCCAAGGGGCTTTTGCAGTTGGGAGGGAATACTACCTACCATTTGTATGTTAGGTGTTCAGTTTATAATGTTAGGACATTATTAAGTAACTATTTCTTTAAATGGAATCAATACTTATTCTAAATAGTCCCACACTACTTAGTCAACAAGACCATCACACTTTGTTGATGTAATAAGACAAATTTATGCAGTGATTGCACCTTGACACATACTTTTAAGTACTTTATCAAGATCACAAATCTTGATCAATATATGACATTTTCTTTTTTTCCTTTTTTATTGATTTTTTAAAATTAATTTTAATGAAAGTTTACAAACTTAGGGTTTCTATACATTGATTGTTGCACCTTTCTCCCTGCCCACCCTCTGCCCCCAATTCACTATCCTTGAAAAGTAAAAGAAAAACTCATTGCTATGCAATCCCTCCCCCCCCAAGTTCACTCCACTATGCAGCCTTCATTTTGGACTCCTGTCATGACAATAATACCTAATTATATATCCCTTTTAAACAGTTTTCTCCCTCATCTGTTTCAATGCAGTATACATCATTCATCCCCTCCTCCTCTGTCTTCCCTCAACCCCAAAGTCAGTCCCATTGTACAAACATGGCCCTATGCAATATTTGTCCTTTTGTGACTGTGATATTTCACTCAGCATAATGTCCTCCAGGGTCACCCATTTTGTATAATATTTCATGAGTTCCTTATTTTTCAATGCAGTGTAGTATTCCATTCGTTTGTTGATGGGCACTTGAGTTGTTTCCAGCTCTTTGCTATTGAGAGAAAAGCAGCAATAAACATGGGTGTGCATATGTCTGCTTGGGTGGCAGTTATGGTTTCTTGGGTAAATTCCCAGTAGTGGAATTTTGCACCATTTTACATTCCCACCAACAGTGATTAAGTGTTCCAGTTTCTCTCCAACCTCGCCAGCATTTGATGTTTGTTGTTCTGTTAAATTTTGCTATTCTTACTGGGGTGAGATGATATCTCATAGTTGTTTTGATTTGTATCTCTCTTAGAGCTAGGGATTTTGAACATTTCTTCATGTGCTTGTTGTCCATCTAAATGTCTTCTTTGGTGAAGTGGATATATAACATTTTCTTTAATTGCCAAACCCATTGTCACGAAGTTGATTCCAACTCCTTGATTCTTATATATGACCATAAGCAACAAGGAGCCTGTGGAGTTCATTATTTATTTATTTGGTATGATAGTATATGAGATCACAAGGGCCGATCACCTTCCTATTCATGCTATAGCTTTTCATTCTGGAGACTCGATTTGACTCACTGACAAGTTCCCTCACCCAATCTCTCTTGCATACATAGACAGAAATAGGTTTTTGAGTCATACTTGACAAACTACCCAGCCTTAACAATGTCTGTATGAGGAAGCAGGAAAGCAAAGTGGCTATATATTTACTACCACATAACGTAATAAAGTGAATAAAAATGGTAAACTATTTCCTTTTTGTTAATCCCTTTATGAACACTTCATATTAGCATTTCCATTTGCATAAGTTGTTTCGCTTGGCTACTGTTTATGCTTTAATGGTCACAGTTTGGGCAGTGGGAGCTCCCCAGAGCTGGTTGTCGGCCCTTTTACAATTGTCCCAATGCTTTTTCAAGCATCTTCGCTTTTTGGCAACAACACAATATTCTAGTCCTACCCTGAATTTTCCCATTCCAAGATTTTAATTCCCCTTCAAGGACGTAGAGAATAGCATTAGAGACTTGGGCCGTAAGGGTGCAGATGAGTGGTGAAAGTGGTCAATTGTGCCATTTCAACTATTGGGACTTTTGTTTTCTCTCGAGATAGACATAAAAAGCAAGTTTTGTTACTAATAGAAGCTCATGTTGTCATTTTTTCTATCCAGTACAATTTTATATTATGATAGAGTTTTATATTATTTTACCCTATTTTTATAACATGGATTTCCTGGGGAGCTCTGGTGGCCTAGTGGCAAGGAGCTGCAACTATAATCCCAGAGGCACACGGTTCGAATCCACCAGATGCTCTGCCGGGGAAGGAGGGACAATCTCCTCCTGTACCAGTCTGATCTGATTTGACGGTACACTCACACAAAAATAAAAAAAAAAAAACTTAAAAAAAAATAACATGGATTTCCTAGAACATTGCAATGTATTCCTACATGAACATAGCTGACATACCAGCTCTCGTTGTTTCACGATGACATGTATTAAGAAGGGATAGGAGGTTGTACCTGGCTTGAGGAGGAAAGAATGTTAGAATGATTATTTAAGGTTCTTTTGATGGTTATGGGAAGGTGAAACTGTGACTGTGTCATCGTTGCTGTCCCCTGTGGACCAGTCCAGTCACACCACCGTAATATTTCAGCCCAACCCTAGAGCATTCTAAAGGAGCAATAAACTTGGGAAAGGTAGCTTACTAGAACAAGTGAGGTCCTGTGCTTGAAAAGAGGGAGACAGCAGGTAGCAGCAGAAAGCTCTTTGGTTCATCCCCATAAACCCCAGCATGCCTGAATCACCCTGCAGGAGTGATTCACAGGGACACACCTGTGCATAAGCTTTGCATTTAGAATTGGGTAGAACACAGAAGCAGCAGGCCTGGTGAGGGCCTTCAAGTTGCTGGGTCAACACTCTCACTTCATGCAATTACTATGCAAATATCCCTAGGCATGGGTGCCAATGGTTATATTTTACTTTTTCAGAAGATGATGTTGTTATGTGCCATTGAGTCGCCAGCAACCCATAGCGACCCTCTCTATGTACCGCAGCTCTGAGGCCTGCCCTGTCTTGAGCTAGCCTCACTGATTCCAGCACACTTCCCCAGTTACTGTATCAATCCATCTCATCTGGGCTCTTCCTCTCCTGTGCTATCCCTCAACTCTTCTAATCATGGTGTCCTCCAAGCGCTGGTCCCTCCTGGCCATGTACCTAAAGTATGTGAGATGGAGCTTCAAAATCCTAGCCTCCAAGAACAAACTTGGTTTCACCCTCTCCAAGACAGATTTACTTGTTTTTGAAACAGCCCATGGTGTATTCAAGGCTCTTCTCAAGCACCACAACTCAAAGGCATCAATTCTTCTTCTGTCATCCTTAGTCCTTGTCCAGATCTCTGATGCATAGTAAGTTATCATGATGACTTTGGCCTGGATTAGAAGCACCTTAGTCTCTAGACTGTTATCATTGCTTTTTAGTACTTTGAAGAGATCCCTGACAGCAGATTTAGCTAATGCAATTCGTCTTTTTATTTCCTCACTGCTGATGCCAAGAGTGTTGATTGTGGTGCTGAGCAAACTGTAATTTATAACAACCTCAATCTCTTCTCCATCTATCATGGTGCTGCCCATTGGTTCAGTGGTGAGAATCTTTGCCTTCTTGATGTTAAACTTCAATCCATATTGAAGACTATAGTCCTTGACCTTCTACAGCAAGTGCTTCAGGTCCTCCTCGATTTCAGCAAGCAAGGTTGTGTCATCTGCATAATGTAGGTTGTTGATGAGTCTTTCTCTGATCCTTATGCCACATTCCTCCTCATAAGGCCCAGCTTCCTGAATGATCTGTTCTGCATATAGACTGAAGAGGTATGGAGACACGATGCATCGCTGACACACTCCTTTCCTGATTTTGAACCATGCAGTATTTCTTTGCTGTGTTCTGAGAACTGCTTCCTGGTCCAAGTATAGATTTTGCATAAGCACAATCAAATGTGCTCCCCCAACCCCTGCCATTTCCCTGAAGATTACCCATGATTTGTTGTGACCCACAGTCAAATGCCTTTGCATAGTCAATGAAACACAGATATTCCATTACTTAGGGATTTAATTTATTCAACCTACTACTGATCTTCATTACTCTTGTACAAGCATGTTGTTGTTGTATGACATCAAGTCAAAATTAACTTATAATGACCCTCCACTGGGTATTCAGAGGTTGTAAAACTCACGGGAGGAGATTTCACACATGGAACAGCTGGTGGATTTGAACTACATACCTGCCTTTGTGTTAGCAGCAGAACTCCTTACCAGTAAGTCACTAGAGCTTCTGGGACAAGGATAGTGGATTGCAGTACAGTTTAGAAAGAAAATTGTGTTCATGTCAAGGAGCACCATTTCTTTAAGAAAAAGATAATCCATCTCTATGAGGCAAACAGAAGACATTGATCTTTGTATTCACAGTTGTGTCTCTTACATTTTTCCCCCCAAAGGCTATTTTACTTTTCTTTTGTAAAGCTCAGTGAGA